AAAAATCTTTGGCTCGGTTTCGTTTAAAAATCAATGGTATCGCCAGCAAGTAATGTATAAAGATTTTCATAACAAGAAAACAATAGAAATTTGAATGGATGTACTGCGCGGGTCAAAAGTCTGACCCCATTTTTTTCTTTTGAGTCGTATCTTAAAACTACAGATCATTAATTTAATTCAATTATATGTTTGGATACCAGAGATCGAGTACTATATATATACACCTGCTTAATTCGAAATACTCTTGAATATGAAATACAATAATAAAAACAAACCTCAGTACTAAGAAAAGAATGACATGAAAAACTACAAAATGATATTGTTGTTATACGATGCTTCCATGATCAGTCAACCGCGAAAAACAAAAAGTATTCAGAAAACTTTTCATTTTATTAGACTTTGTAGAGCTTTTTTCGCTGATCATTTTGGTAAAAAAAAAACATTTTGAATTTCATTGAGAAATGATGGTATTATAGTCAAAATATTAAATACTGTGAAATACCGGATCTTCCAAAATGTTTGCACCATGGTTTATTTAGCGAATATTTCCGCATAGACAAATGATAATATCTTGTTTTTTCTTTCAGAAAATGAGTCGTGAAAGCTCTACAAAAACTGTAAGAGCAAACCCTATTGACTCCTTTTGATGATTTCTTCCACATTTAAACTGAAAAGAAAATGGATGATAGTGCTACTTCCCACCGTATTTAACATAATAAAAATGTTTGAAAGACTTTTATATGTTGGGGGTATCTCGGCTCAAGAAAATGATAGCATCTTGATTTTTTTCAAAAGATGCGCCGTCGAAAGCTCTATACAAACCGTATAAAGAAATTTCTATTGCACAAAAACAAGTCTTACAAACATTTTTATTATCCTTTTGTAGTTTTTCATGTCATTTTTCTTAGTACTGAGGTTTGTTTTTCTTATTGTATTTCATATTCAAGAGTTTTTCGAATTAAAAAGATGTATACATATAGTACTCGATCCCTGCTATCCAAACATATAATTGAATTAAATTAATGTTGGGTAGTTTTAATACACGACTCAAAAGAAAAAAGTGTGGCCAGACTTGTGATCCATACTGCAGATCCCAATGATATTGGTTTAAAGGGAGTTCTATTCGAAATCGATGCCGATCCTGACATGCAGAATCGCAAACCATTCGCTAATATTAGCGAGAGAAGTTTTTTTCATGGCTGAAAGTATTTTTCGTCTTACTAAAGTCACAGAAGTTGATAGACTATGGACTATTCGATTAGTTCTTTGGAAGTAAGAGGAAAACGATCTGATGAAACTTTATGAACATATGAGAAAATAGAAAGAATCCACTATCAATCGACTTCACTAGGGTACTGTTCTATCAGTATCAGGTGAATTCGATCAAACTGAACGTTTTTTTCGAAGGATGCTCCAAGAATTATCTATTGATGGTTATTGTAATTTAGCAGAGAGCTGCCAAGAATTAGCAGTTCTATCTGTCGGAAAAGGAGATTATAGAATGAGTCTTGAATGGAATTAGTTCAATACGAGCTTCGTTTGCTTTTTCCAGAACCTGGTTACAATCTCATATATTGAAAATGCGATAATTTCGAGTCATGAATTCGGATATTCATGTTTTCTGTGGCTTTTGCACTTTATATGAGCGAGAACATTACAAAAATAATACAAATGAGCGATAATCAGATTGAAAACAAAATATAGCATTCTGACTTGTTTTTCTACTATTCCAGACAATCTACGTATTGAGGCTTTAATTATTTCGATCAATGTTGCACCTTACGGTAACTCTGAAAGTTTACACAAGCCAGTGATTTGTTCATTGTGTAAGTATTGAAGTTTCAATGAATATTTGAACAGGCTCCTCTTGAGACTCGCAAATTATTCATCTGCTTATAAATGTTGCATGGAAGCTTCTGTAAAACTCTCAGATACCATCACAAATTCAGCTGTTTACCTGCTGATGAGTCACATTTCTCTTTTCTTGTGTCTCAAAATATTGACTCGTACATACTCATTTCATCATTAAAATTCTATGCAGGAAAAAATACGAAGGCATTTATTCGTGTCTCATCGAGAGAACGACACTTTCCAGCGCATTTAACAATGTATGATTGGTCTTAATGTGACCAGAGGCTTATTGGCTTTTGACAAGAACCAATTTTCTCGTTTACCTGATGATTCCATGATTATGTCTCAACTTACGTCCGAAACTTTGCAAAAAATGGCCGATATTCTACATCAGTCGCTCACCACTAGTCGAAATAGCATGATTGCTGGGAATAGTTATCCGTCGGTTCTATTTATTGCTACCCCATTCAAGAATATGAACTTGTGAGAAAGTCAACTCAAACCAAGTGTGATTGAAGCAGTACTGACAAAAATCATCGACAACCTTGATCAGTATCCACAGCTTTAAAAAACCAAATGTAATTTGTCATACACTAATGATGGTTTGATGAAGATGACTGTGAAAGGCGTGTGAATATTCTATAGAGAATGAAAGGATTGAAACATTGTTTATGTTACAACTAGATCATATAAAAAGTGTATTCATTTATTGATGTTTGAAGGACATGATATTTACAAAACAAGAGAAAAAAAAATAATATATTCTGCGTAATTGGTACATTTTCTTCAAACAACAATAAACAAATTATACAAGTCAGCTTTAATCTAACAAAGAGAGATTCAACTACAGTGCCTGTCGCATTTATCTGATCTGCCTTGGTTCCATGCTTATTCTATTACCATATCATTTTTCAAGTTATCTGAGTAAATGATATTGAAAATTGACACTTCGATCGACTACACCATGGCATTGAAATTGATTCCACCTATCTTTTCTTATCATTTTGGTTAAGAAGAAAAATAAAGTATATATAATCAAAAGTTGTATGTCAGTTCAAAGATAGTGAACACAAGTGGAAAATATCAAAAAGACTATTGTATGGCTTCAATTTATAGTAGTAGAATGAGATTATTCGTCGTATTAATCATTATCATGTCCATATTTGATACTATTCAAGCAGCTTGTTTCGGAAAACCATTACCAGGTCCAAATGCACGTAAGCAATTTATTTGTAGAAAGAAAATAAATACAATGCTGAAAAATGTTTTCATAATTAAAGGCAATTGTGGAATAACAGACGGCAAATTACGTAAATTTAATGATGAATAGAAATCAAAAGATGGTCACAAATGCTCGTGCAGCAAAAGTAGAGTTAACTGTTGCTCGTAAGTGCTTTAGTTGACTTCTCATTCAAGGATCTTTATTGGACACTTGATGATGTGAATAAAATGATTTTTCGTTCTGATTCTACGTAGATAAGTCTTATATTTACCATACACTAGTAGTAAAACATGTTACAGAGCTAATTGATATTTTATATTGGACAATGAACGTATGCTTTAAGTACATTTCGGTAACTTGAAAAAGTTTAGAACTATTATCCCACTGAGCTGAATAAAGAAAAGATTTAGAAAGTCAAGGTATATTTCGAGCTTCTAGAAGATTCGATATTTTAAAGTTAGATTAAAGAATGCCTATTGACGAGATGAACAGATATTCGCAAATAGCACATCCAAATCAAGCGATTTGAACATTACTGAATATTTTCTTTCCACAATTTACGAACCTAAAACTTTAATGATGTAGTTTAGATTGGCAGCGTCAACTTTTTCTAACTATTTGACAAATTCCGCTTTACTATGAGAAATTAACATTAAAGTACGTTACATGATGCAAACAGACTTTTTTATGAAGTCCGTTATATGCTTAAAAAGATTCAAACGCATATTTATGAATATTAATCACTTTAAAAGTATGTTCATGATATACTCGAATACATCAACGGAAATTTGGCTTTTTTTTCTCATTATAGGATGTATACGGTTCCAACTAAGTATGACAAAGAAAATTGTCAAGCAATTTTCAATAAACGTCGTTGCCAATATGATGTTGTGAGAAAAAGTAATAAAAGTATAAAATGTCCAGTTTATGGAGGTGTTGGACGATAAATTATCATTTTGATCGCAAAAATCACATTAATGATTGAATTAATTATGATACTTTTGTGAAACAATTTTTGCAAAATTAAAACAATTGTAATTGATTAGATTTGTGCATTAAATGAAATCCATTGATCTAATTGTTGTTCTGTGTATCAATAAGCTAATTAGTATAGAAATTCACGGGGATCTTCAATTCCAAATAAAATAGACACATCTTTTTAATAATTGTAATTTGAATATTATATAATAAAGTAGAAAACGTCAAACGATTTTTACTTTATTTATTTGAAACCCTTCTATGTAATTGGCGATATTAACTTTTTAACCTGAAGTGTCTTCGAATAAAAAATCTAAATTTCTTTTCTCTGTTATTAAAAAACAGTGTTTATCTTTGACTTGGTTAATGTAACAATTGAGAAAGTGATGAAATATCTTAGCTGAAACTTACA